GCATGCGCGTCCATGTTTAATGCTTCTTATATAGCTATGTGAAAATTATTGTATAATTGGAACAGTTCATTGTTGGAACTGAGTTGAATGAGAGAGAGAGAGAGAGAGAGAGAGAGAGAGAGAAATGCAGAGCATGTGCAGAGCAGGCGACGCGAGGAACAGTATTAAGAACCGCTGCTTTAGAACATTGATTTTGAAATTCTGAATCCATTAGAATCGTTAGAAGAGTTCTCTTCCTCTTCTCTAAAGCAGCGCAGCATGGCCTCGCCCCCTTTGTTGCCATTTCCCGAGTGCGGGGTTTATCTGGGTTTGTGACATCACGAACCTGGGAAGTAACATGTTGTAGTCCCTATCAGCCGTTTTTGTAGGCATTAAACTGCCAGAATTTTAAAAGACGATATCTCCGTTTGCATTGAACTTTCAGCTTCGTAACTTTGCAGATATTGTTTATGCTCAAACAGCAACATTACACACTAACTAACGTTAAAAAAGTGAAATCGCAATCAACCACCCCTTTAAGAAACATTTCGTATTATAAATGTTAAAAACAGATGTGCTACTTAATATTTTTGTGGAAACCATGATACATTTTTTCAAGATTCTTTGAATAGAAAGTTAAAAAGAACAGCATTTATTTGAAAAAAAAAAAAAACATTTTATGTGAAATACAAATAACATTCTAAATCCGGGGTCTCTAAACTTGATCCTGGAGGGCCGGTGTCCTGCAGAGTTTAGCTCCAACTTGCCTCAACACACCTGCCCGGAAGTTTCTAGTATGCCTAGTGAGACCTTGATTAGCTGGTTCAGGTGTGTTTGATTTGGGTTGGAGCTGAACTCTGCAAGACACCGGCCCTCCAGGACCGAGTCTGGAGACCCCTGTTCTAAATGTTACAAATGTTACTGTCACTTTTGATTAATTTAATGCATCCTTGTTGAATAAAAGTATTTGTTTCACCCAAAATTGTATATGCAGTTTTGGATTTATGTCCAAAAATGTAAAATATAATTTTAAAATGTATGAGATAAAAAAAATGTTTTCAAACTAAATAAGATTTTGTTTCAAACTAGCTTCACAGTAATGAACAGGAGAGTAACAATCAATGATGCAAACTTAACAAAATTAAACAAATTCTGCTATAACAAAACCACCTTTGACTGGATTAAGCAATTAACTACAAGGTAGTTAAAAAGAGGATAGAAATGGTCATGATTAGAATGTTTTTGGTATAAGAAATGCCTAACACAAAAATAAAATACCACAAAATTATAGACTATGACCCATTGTAAGTAATGAAATAAGTGGCAGAAACCAGTGTTGTTGTTGAGATCTGGTCATTTAAGGCAGAGTCAAGACCAAGTTCAGAAGAGGGTCACGTTTGAGTCGAGTCCGAGTCCAAGACTACATTTAATGGTCTTGGTCTTATGGACTCGAGAACATATGGACTCAGTCTTGACTCGAACTCTGCCCTCTTCTGGTCTCTGTCTCTTTAATGAGCTGGTCTCAACTACAGAAACAACACTCAGTTTGTCTATACCCAGTGACTGTGACACTAATTTTCTCTGTTTGTTTCTTCTTCTCAGGATTGTTGAATACTCCCTTGATCTCCAGAACATCAACTTCTCCGCCATCAGAACAGTGCGTGTACTCAGACCTCTCAAAGCCATCAACAGAGTACCCAGTGAGTAAACACACACACACACAACACATTTCCCCCAAAAAAATCTGTGATCTGCAAACCTCAGGTGTTATACATGCTGATTCATTGTGAGTGGATTTTTCTGGTTGTGTTAATGCCAAGCCTCAAAAGCACCCTCATGTGTCAGCTCCAAGCCCTGCCCAGCTCCAAGCCCTGCCCTATCAAACCCACGGTAGCGTGCATGTGTAGCTTTGTATTTGGTGTGCAGGTCTTCCAGAACAGCAAAGCTGGAATGAATCAAAGAGGATTTCAGAGCCATTACTTTTCTGCCACCACCATTAGCAGAGCAAGATTAATCCCTCCTGTAATTGGGTAGAAAAACAGTTGTCCTTGAACAAACGCCATAATTCATATTCCTCTGTCTCACGTTCATACCCCTCCCAAACATTGTGGCCTTTCTTCGAACTTCTATAAGAAGCCCAGGATTTATCAATATTTCAGTGCCCATGGCAATGGTGTAGCGCATGAAATATGAATTCTAACTGAATTAGCTCGCATTTGATTTCGCTGCTCGAAGTCTTGATGAAGAGATTTCAAGCAGAGGGTTTCAGGAAATGTTTGTAGAATGTAGGTCTTTGTGTGTTACTGATTTCGAAGATGCACACAAACCCAATGCATACACACTGTTACACTCTCCCTCATACATTTAGGCATACAGAATCAAATTAACATCCAGTTAACTGTGTATGTAGCATGTCAAATTGTAGCAAGGTTTTATGCAAGATTTTATTAAAGGGATAGTTCACTAAAAATAAACATGCAGTCATCATTTACTCATTCTCATGTCATTCCAGACCTGTAGTTTTTTTTCTCCTTCTGTGGAATAGGCAAATGGATATTTAGCTAAATGTTTGCAAAATCACCATCTGCTTTTGTTGGAAAAGAGCACTGTAGACATGTTACATGGTTCCCATGGTTACCAAAAACCTGGAAATTTCAGGGAATTGTAAAAATCCAGTGCCAAGAAAATCATGGAAATTCCTAAAGTGATTATACACTACAGTTCAAACGTTCCAATTTCAGATGAGTTCCTTTTTAATTTTTTTAATCTTTCTATTCATCAAAGAATCCTGAACAAAAAAGAATCACAGTTTTGACAGAAAATATTTAGCTGATACACTGATAATATTAATAAAAGAAAATGTATTTTAAATTGTTTAAGTATGTCATGATATTACTGATCAAATAAATGTGGCCATTTAAAATAAATAAATAAATAATTAAATACTGAGCCCAAACTTTTGAACAGCAATGTGCCTTTTCATATTTATGAAAATATTGTTAAAATAATATGAAAATATTTAATTGCCAAGAAATTGTTCTTTGCGAGTTCAGTCTCAAGCAGCTTCAAAATCTTTATCAAGTAATCATTAATGGCCAGAAAAAGACACTGAAATTCGTTGGTCGAAACGTGTGGGTACATTGATAAATGACCTCACTGAAAGGCTGTCCATAAAAGAAAAAAAATCAGTTAATGTTTTAATAAATTAGGTAAATAATGGCAGAATTTTCACATTTGGGGAACTTTGTAAAATTGAGAAAGAACGATAGAGAGAGAGGTTTCTGTCTTGATAAAGACATGGACAATTATGCTGTGAGATCTAGAAAAAAAGAACATACCACTTGGAAACTAAGATCTCATTTCACCTTTGTGTCAGATGTTTTAAATCATTCTCTTCTCTCTTGAGATTCCTTTAATTTCTCTGTAAATTGCCCAAGACACAACTCTGCTTTCATTCCAGAGGTCCAGATATTCACAGCACCAGTCGCTTCACCTGTCCACATGACGTTTTTAATATTTGTGACTCAGTGTGTTAATGTGTTCCATCAGCGTTGTGTTAGTTCCCCACTGTGTTTCCCCAAACCACAAACACTGCAGTAATCACATGCTGCTGTTCTCCAATCAGAACGGACACACACCCTTCATTCAAACCCAGCAGTGCTTCACTAACACAAACTCTCACTCTCACTCACAAACAATCCCACTGGTGTGGAAGTAAACACACAAGTTTTATGATGACAGGCTCTCAAGAGTTGCCACTGGGAGACGGTCACAGTGACACAAATTGCTATGTACAAATAAAATGAAGAATAAATGACTGGATGACCTAAAAACAACCTAAGAATGGCTATGTCTAACTAAAGTTTATGACTAATCAGTGAGAATTACATTGATTGTATGCACTGAGTTTGAAATGAATGGAAGTGTTGCTTAATAAAAGTATTAAGTTGTGTCAGAGGTGGAAAAAAGTTATTACATTTTATGAAAGGATATGACAAACTTTTTCTTGAATAATGAATATCTCAGTGCACGTCATTCTTTGTTATAATAATAATAGTTTTTCTGTGTTCTTGTGTTTGTGTAGGTATGCGTATCCTGGTGAACCTGCTGCTGGACACTCTGCCCATGCTGGGAAATGTGCTTCTGCTCTGTTTCTTTGTCTTCTTCATTTTTGGCATAATTGGCGTGCAGCTATGGGCTGGACTATTAAGAAATCGCTGTTACCCAGAGGAGAACTTCACCCTGTGAGTACAAAAAAAGGACAGCCAGTGGGCTTAAGGGAGTGAGAGAGAGAAAAGACTGAATGTATTGAATATTTTCAACGGTGATTTAATTGAGGAAAAAAGCACCGGATCCAAATTGTGGGTTTATTTGGATGAAGGTTTAGGTTTACAAGGATAAAAAGATTGAATTTAGGAGGCTGGATCTTCTTGAAGATGCATTTCGGAGTGCCTGAGCACTCCATCATTGGATTGGACTTGTATTTCAAATGTCCTTTCTCTCGAAGAAGGGATACTTGATGTGATCAATGGATGTTTTGGGATCACATGGAGCTTGGGGGCTAATAAACAAATGATTTGTTCAGTTCCATGTTATCTTTGTCGTATATTCTCACTTACTTACTTTCACTCATCTTCTCACATGTATCCTTCTGTTTAATCTCTCTTCTCATCTTCGTTTTTACTGTCTACCTGCCACTAAAAATGCAAAAGTGGTACCACCCATTCGATGGCTCCAGTTGATTAAAACTCAGATTGGCATCCATATTCATGGGTGGGTGTCTGCCTGAGGTTACTGTGCCAACCGTGGTCTGCCTGCCTCTCTTTGCTGTGTGATTGGATTTGAAAGGACTCACGGTGCATGGCAGTGTGCGAGACACCCCGTGCGTTTGTTTGTACGCGTGTGTGTGGGATAAAGAAGCGCATGTCTGAGTTTAAACGTCAGCTGAGGTCTGATTGTCGTTTATTGTCTAGCAGCGAGTATATTTACAGGCTGTAGTCAGAGGATGATGAAGTGTTTTGAAAGGAGAGTCTATCATAGAGTGGCCTGGTTTTCTTCTGCTTTTTACATTCTCTTACAGTCTTTTTAAAATGTACACTCTCCTGTCCTTTTGGTGGGGGATGAATTACTTAAAACAAAATGTTTTTATGGGGTTTGAAAGAACAAATACTACACAGTTTTAGTGTAGCGTATCATATAAGGCATCTCTTATATGAGAAATTTCTTTAGCTTTTGCAGACATTTAAGTAACTGTGCAAATGTTAGATCACAAGTTAGTCGGAACATGTATTTTCACTGGCTTCAAAGGTTGCTTAACCATAACAATGTAACCACAGCAACAGTTAGCTGCTCAAGCACTCTCCGAACATCAAAACTTTAGTACTGTCATAATGTATTGCTTCAAAGTTTTACATATTAGTATATCAAAGAAAAATCCTTAAAGCTGCTATAAGCAATTGAACCATTTAGCTAACTTTAGCCATTTTGCTAACTTTAACCATCCACCATTTTAGTAAACCCGAAGTGATTCACTAGCAGTTTCTGATTGGCTTCTGATTGAATATTACATAGAAAATTATAGACTGAAAGACCAAAATGTGCTTCTACATATGCTCGCTTGAGGTTGATATGTTATTTGTTCCGTAAGAAAACAGAATGTGCATCAAAAACTGATATAATTTTTATGCCTTAAAAAGTCATGTGATTAAATAATTTGCTTAGATGAATACTGTTACCTCAGAGATCTGTCTGATGCGCTGTTGCTCCCACAGATAAGGCAGTTGCAAGAATCCAGAAACATGAAGTTTGTAAGAACACTTTGTCTGCACGCTCTATATCTTAATTTATTACATTTATTGCATTTCAGTTTCTACTTTGCTCCAATTTCCCCCCGAAAGTGACGCTTTTGTTCTCTTAGACACATACAAACGCTGTTTTTGCAATATTCCGATTTTTCACAAATTAAATTCCTCTTCAGGAACTCGAGCTGCGTCGGAAACGCTAGGGGAACGCACGAGGTTCAGAGCCCGTCACGCTGAAGGGCGTTCCCCTAGCGTTTCCGACGCAGCGTCTCGTTCCCTCGAGGAACTAGGGTTACATACGTAACCTGAGACGTTTGCTTTGATGAAAAAAATAACTGATGAAACGTGTAAAAAAAAATTCTGAGAGTACCTTTAAAGTGGCGATGAAAGTAGGGACAGATTTACAGATCTGTATTGTGACGTACGTCTGAGTGCAGCATTTAATCAACAAGAGAAAATTTAAGCAAGATTTGGTTCTATGCATTGGTTATTAATTTAAAGATGTGGACGTTGCATTCAAAAATGAATGAGAGCTTGCAGTCGATTGGAGGGGTGGAGAATAAGCAAAATAAATTATTGGGAAAAAATAATTAAAAATGGATGAATTGTTTGCAATAAGATCAATAACTTGCGAATTGTCATTTAAATTTTTAACACGCTTTAAGACTGTTGATGTTAACTATTTCATTTTCACAGCATCTGAGGTTGGACTTGAAATGAAAGAAATTCCTTTAAAAAGTCGACTTTCAAGGTCACACTTCTCCTCGGGGCTCGTTTTTGTGCGAGAGCAGTTGTGTGTGTGTGTGTTTGCGTGTGTGTGTGTGTGTGTGTGTGTGTGTGTGTGTGCGCGCGCACGCGCATTTAGATTAACTGTCTAGACCGCAAAGCAATAGAGATATTGATTGGCTTGCATGTGCTATGCTTGTGTGTGCTAGGTGGACAAATGGCATTGCACGTTGGTGCATATACATGGATGTGAGAGAAATGGGAAAAGAGAGAAAAAAGAAGAGAGAGATTGGGGGAAAGGTAGTGTAAATATTCATTGTGACCCTGTTATGTGTATGAGAGGGTGAGTGGCTGATGGAAACAGCTATTTCTGGGTAGTAAAACACTGTGATTAAGGGGCAGGCTGCCCTCAATGGGTCACTCCCAGAGACATGGGCTTCACACACATGTACACACACACTACACACTCTCAGTTGGTCTGTTATAGAATCCACACTGGTTGCTGCTCAGATCTCTTCAGGTCTGCCTAGAGATATTTCAGCTATACTGCAAGAACTGCTTAATTCTGGGAGTGTGTGAGATATATATATATAGAATATAGATATATAGAATGTATATGTGTAAAATATAATATATACTTAGAAAAAAGTATATATTTTTCCCTAAAAGATATATAAGTAGAAATAGTAGAAATTTGACAGCTGGCAGAGATTATGGATGGATGGATAGAGAGAGAGGGGGAGAGAGAGATGATAGAAGAATTTTCTTTTTCTTTTTTAAACACTGAATTTTCAAAAACCTTGACTTCTCCTTACGTCTTGTCCTCAGCACATCTGGCATCACCCTCCCCACCCCATATTATCAGCCTGAGGAGGATGACGAGCGGCCCTTCATCTGCTCTCTGGCTCAGGATAACGGCATCATGTCCTGCAGCGATGTGCCCGCTCGGAGAGAAGGTGGACGGGAGTGCTGTCTAGATAAAGAGGATGCACTGCACCGTCAGGCCCTGGGCCTGAGCGTGGAGCCGCTGGTCAATGGCAGTGCCTCCACTGTTGGGCTCTGTGTGAACTGGAACCAGTACTACACCCGCTGTCACACAGGACACACCAACCCACATAAAGGAGCGATCAACTTTGACAACATAGGTTACGCATGGATCGTCATATTTCAGGTATGCAATCGAGTCAAGTGGTATTTGTTGAAATTACGCATCTGATTCTGTTTCAGGTGATCCTCTCATAAATCGACAGCACTTGCTACAGGTGTAAATGCGATCTAAAGCATTTTGTGATCCAATCATTCAAACCACATTCAGAGTAAGCTGAAAACGCATGAGATAACATTGCATGTGTAGTGTGCTGCAAATGCTAATCTGTCCTGATGCGTCTTGGACAACAGTGAAGGGCCGCCTACACACCTCTCAATCATCCACTGTGGTAAAACAAAGGTTTAAAGAAATTATATTTACAAATGAGGTAAGAAAAATCAGCTTGTTTTCACTTTTAATTAATTCGAATTTTTCTTACCCATTGGCAAGTAGTTTTAAGAATTTACATTTATTTATATAGCAAAGTGTTTATCCAAAGCAACTTCACATTATTTGCAGTACACAATGCCAAGTTTAAGTATGAGCTAGATTAGTACACTAGCTACATTGCTGAATTGCTGAAGAATCTAACAAAAGTGAGGTTTTAATGAGTGATGTTGTTGTTCTCTTAATGCCTCTAAATCGTATACAAATATACATAGTCACAAAATCAGAGACTCTACCCTCAAAATCCAATCACAAATAGCAGACACGTTACATAAACAGCATTTGTCTCAACTGACGACTTGTGATGGATCATCTGAGATGGATCTTTACCAGGTGTATAAAGAGCTTGAATGTGGTCTGATCTGGTCTGTGCAGGTGATCACGCTGGAGGGTTGGGTGGAGATCATGTACTATGTCATGGATGCTCATTCCTTCTACAACTTCATCTACTTCATATTCCTCATTATCGTAAGTTTTTATACCTTGCTGTGCATGTGTTCAGAGATGAAGCATGTGTCCTAATTATTGAGAACTTGTAGTCAGTGGTTTTATATGGCATATGTAGTCTGGGAGGACCTGAAGTTTGGTGACTTTTAGGGCCAGAGGGTGAACTAGATGTTAGGTCTCACTGGTAAGAACAAAAAGGTCATGTCTTTCCCCAGGACACAAAAACACAGCTTAACACATCACAACAATGAAAATGTTAGCACAAAGCCTACTAATTAGGGATGCTGTGATACAGATAAGACCATAATTATTTTCATGTAATGGCTGATATGAAAATTCTCTACTATTTTGTCTAAATAAAAATTAAAACATTATAAATTAAAATCATTTTAAATTTAAATTTAGAGTAAAATTAGGCATCACAACATTATAATGAACAGTATGAAAAACTGATATTCATTTTGAGGTTAAAGAAATCACTAAAAATCACTAATATCAACTGATAACCACTTGTGCATCTGATTTATTGTGCATCGCTACTACTAATTGTTTACTCTTTCTAAAACAATCATCTTTCAATCATCAAAAAATTGAGTCACATATTTAGTGTTTAGAGTGCCATCTGTAAGTTCAAACTTAATACAGTATTTTTAATGCAAGGCCACGTAACATCTAATAGACATTTATCAGTTTGATTAGTCCTGCCATATGGTGCATTGCAAGTGAAGTTTAAAATCTTGGAAAAAATCACTACTGTTATTCCTCAGAGATGCGTCTTGAACCAGCTTTTATTGACAGACTGAACTTAACTGAATCTGCAGGACTCCTGTTGATGGCCTGAAGGTTTCAAAGATACAGATATTAGCTAAACAGCACATTTAGTAGTCTACAGAGCCGCAGAGATCAATTAGGCAATGAACAACATAGTGAAGAATCAATAGCTGGACACTATAAGATGAATTTATCTTTGCTTCGGCTGCATGTTTTAACGATGCCGTGATGGAGCCAGTTCTCGCACCGCGCCGGCCCTCTTCGTTGAATGGTAGGAACAACAGCGAACGAGACAGCCCTGCAGTGAGATGTGCTTCGGATAACATCTCCTCCAAAGATTAAAGAAGAGAGTGCGTGGAAAAGAAATGCCCTGAGCATATGGAGCAAAAGGATCTGAGACTGAAAGACAGCAGGAGACTAAAGGAATAAAAGAGGAAGGAAATGTGAAGAGTGGAGAGGCCTGCTCAGATTTGTTGTGGCTATTTGTGCTTTTCTTTACCTTTCCCGTTTCCTGCGTTCAAACACGTGTTAGACAACTCAGCTGGAGACGACAAGATCCATTTTAGCCCAACAAATGGCAAGTATAGGGAAATGTGGGTGTGTGTCTGTAGCTAATGACAGGGCCTAATCCTGTGTAGGTCAGCGGAGTGAAAGCATTAGCAGTTAATTAGAGCCCATTAGACTGGTGGACCCCTGCCGCCATCTCTGCAGTCTCCCACTTCCTGACAGAGACCCTGCCACCCCGACACATGCACCCTGCGAAGCTGTCATGTGATTCTGCTCAGCATGCACCAGCAGAACGCTGACTGGTGAATTTGTGACACTGAGTGAAGTATAAAGAGACTCTCAGGACTGAGAAATCATTTAGATTAGTCATTATCAGTATTGTGTTGCCTAAAAAACAGCAAGTGAATCAATAGGTGCAGTGCAATTGAATAATTAAATATGTTAAATAACACAAATGTATCCCATTTTATTAACCAATGTCTTTGCTGCTAACCTTTGATGATCCAATTCAATCACACTAATAAGCAAAAATTACTTTAGATAAACTAACAGTTGTGCTTCATTGTTTTTTTTATATATAATTTTTATGCTTCTATATTTATGTAAATACCATTGAAGCCCACTGAACCATATTTAAGAAGGCAATTTTCAGTTTTATAATATTAATAAAGTGCCATCGTCTCAAAGTCATTGAAGTCAATGTTTCTTTTTTGGCCTACAAGGTCTGTGGTTAACACAAGCTCAATATAGTTTCACGTTTTATTCTGCAAAATAAAGTACATCAGTAATACCTTACTTGCGATTTTTTTAACAGAAAAAGGTGGTTGCTAATAAGTGGCCAAATAAGATGTTTTGGACAATGTCATGCTGACCAGGAAAACTCACCTACTCACTAGTATGCTTTACAGCCTTGTTGTGTTTATATAGTGCCTCTGCTCTTGCAAATTGTTTTCAAACTTGTAGATTTTAAATGAAGATTGGGAGAGTTGTCTTTATTTTATATATTTTTTTATTTTAATTAATTAATTTATTTTTTTTAAACAGTTTTGACTTCAGCGTTGAAGTTGATGTAGTTTGTTTATAGCCTACCTTTAACTTTTTACCTTTGGCAATTGCATTTAGTCTTAAATTCATAAAAATGTATTGAATTTTCATTAAAGTGTGTTCATTTGTGAAGATCATATTGATGAACAAAACAAAGCTATTAACTTTTTGTCAAGGGAACAAGGGTGATGCTTACTTTTAGGCTGGCCTACAAAAATATGTCATCCCTAGGGCACTTTATTACAGAATTAAGCCAACATATGCTGCTTTACGTCTTCATGCAGCCCTAGTTTTTGTCTGTGCTTGTCATCACCATGTGTGCATTAAATATCTGCACTGGTGGTTCCAACAGAAAAAAAAAAAAACAGACAGAACAACTATGTGAAATATGTCGCAGCAGGCGGAAAAAGCAAAGCGTGCCAAAGGGTTTAATTTAGAAACAGTTTTTCCTCAAAATGCAAAATTTAAAATAATTTTGAAAATATGCTCTTGATTTTTAAGTTTGTATTTTACTTAAATCTTTTGAAAGGAAAATGCACTTTCTGCGCTTCTGGGTACCCTCTTTTAAAAATAAACAGATGTATTGTTCCAAAGTCAATCAAATGTGATTTAGCGTTATGTCTGTGGTTTCTGTTGCTTTATACTCTCTGGCATCCCCTTCACAGCTGGAAACAACAGCCAAATCCCTATGTGATCTGCAATGTTTGAGGGGAGTAAGATGTGTCTTTTCACTGTATGTGTGTGTGCAGGTTTATGCGAGTGTGTCCCTCTGCACTTTTATTTACTTTGACGCCCTGCTCTGTCTGTAACTTGGCAACCACACAGCCAGCCATCGCTACCTGTAGAGAGAGGGCCATAGTGTCCCGACACAGCCCACACCCCGCCGATGCACCTCTATTCATTTCCTTTCACTTCTATTGAACATCGGAGCAATTAATTCAGGCTCGCCTTCTGTTTCCTCTTCAGTTGTTCTCTGATGGATCAGTACGAATGGGCAGAGTGATCACAAATAATTAGATTAAAGACATTGTCTCTGATTACAAGCAACAAAATATTAACAAATCTTGTTATATTTTTGGGCTTGCTGCTTATGGGTTTCACCGATGGATACGATTTATAAGCTGATGGCATGGGAAGAAATTTTTATTTTATTTTATATTCTGTTATTTATTTTTATTTTTTAGTTTTTCTATATTATGCAAACCTGTTGGCAAAGTTCTCCCTGCCTTTGCACATTGATGGCACAATAATGAAATGACCGGTTCTGCCTACTGTTCTTTTTTTGGACAGGCAGTCTTAAGGTCACCCTGCCTGCAGCCAGACCCTTCCATTGTAAGAGCAGTATTAAATGAGAGTATAAATCACCTGTCATATTTCATCCAACTGTAACAGAACTGAAGTATACTCACTAACCAACACCCCTTTGACCTCTCCCTTTCTTCTCCTGCCTCCTGCCTGTATGTCTGAGCTTTTTTTCTTTCTTTCTTTCTTTCTTAATTTTTTTTCTTTCAAATAATATGTAATAATGGTGCTGACATGTCTTAACTGTAGTAAAGGAACCATTTTGGATTTAAAGTAGTACATGAATTCAAATAAGTTCTTCATGGCTAATCTTCTCATTTTGTGGGCTGTTAAGTATCAATCATTGAGTAATTGAGATTGATTAACCACATTAATAACCAGATTAAATTGATACGTGAATGAATCATTTAGACCAGCTATTCCTGAAAGTGAATAATATCAATGATTAATTTTTTTTCCATAAATTAGACATTGTTACTTACATCATGATCTCTCAGAAAGTGCCAATGATTTTTTTATTTTATTTTATTTTAAATGTCTAGATTGTCAGTGAGTAATGACGTAAATTATAATCTATTCTTCACACAAAGCTATCACTACCACTTTTATGGTGCTTATTTTGTCATTTTGAAGTCCTCTTTCATAATATTTAAGAATGCCCTGAATTTTCTTCAAATGTTCACATTTGCGTTCCACAGAAGAAAGTCAGTCTGTACTGTACAGGCATGAGGGTGAGTAAATAATGACAGAATTGTCATTTTCAGGTGAACTATTACTTTAAAAGATCAAATATGTATAAAGCATTTCTTGTGTGTGTGTGTGTGTGTGTGTGTGTGTGTGTGTGTGTGTGTGCGCAGAGGAATTGATGAGAGGAAAGGTGAGGTCCGACTACTGATTAGGAGCAGTCCAGTCACACATCAGACTCCCAAATCAGGACAGCAGATGTGGAGGCAGGACATACCTGCACAGCTGCCCCACACACACACTTCTGTGCATTTCTCCACCTCTTCTGTCCTCCTCACAACTCATCCGTCCTCTCTGATCCCTACTTCACATATGCAGGAAACAGGCTGTACTTTCATTAAGACCTAAGAGCGAGCTCTGTGTGTGTTCGCGTATTGACAAATGCCAGTGATATGAATGGCGAATGATATAAGAGCAGGCTTTCTGTTCTGTTGAATCTGGAAATGGTTCGCTTTTAGTCTTTAAAATGATTGGCTCACAATTCTAATCCGTTTCACGTTGGCAGAGGGATCTAGCCCTTCTCTGCGAGGACTAGGAGATATTTTGATGTTTTGCTCCTATGAAAGAGCCTGATAATTATAGCATATCAAAGCCAGAGCGATACGGGCGCACACACAACAAAACGGGCTCTTGTTTGGGCGTCTGCTGACTTTTTCAAACATAGGGTCTGTTTATAGCAGCTCATCTAGACAGCTATGGCCGCTGCTTATGCCAAACACTGCAGTACAGGCTGCATTAGAGAGCTTAGGGGGGGTTTTGGTGTCATGTAGACATGGATATTTAAAGCAGCTGAGACTTCACACGTAGTGCAAGAGTTATGGTAACAGAATTGAGCTTAAAAATTATCTTTAGTGTATAATAAAGGGATGAGAGCAAAATGCTCAAATAAATAAACTCAAATATATGTTTTCAAAGGTGTGGTTCACCAAAAAATGAATATTTATTTACTCATTCATGTACTCAACGTGTCATTTCAAACCCAGTCATTTTACACTGAATGTTAACTGGAGCATTCAAGCTTTAAGGATGCAAAAATATCAAAAAGAGCAAATATTGTGCGCTATATTCCAAAAGTATGAAAGTCATACAATACCCTTGTCTGCCAAAAAGCCAAAAAGTTGCTATTCAATTAAAATATTCGCTAGCAATCCTTAGAATATTTGTGAAAGAAGAACTAATGTCTGAATTGTAAATGAATCTGGGGGATTTTCTTTTTCTTTTGTTCAGATTGGTTGAATTGCTGGATCCGGTTCACACAATAAGTCTGAAGGATTTGTTCACAAGTTCAGCTCTTTGACATTGTTATTGCTATGACCATTAAGTCAGTAAATTAAACTGAAGATCTGAATGCGTCTGATATAAAGAGGAGGTTGTCAGTGAACAATTACTTACATTTTTGTCTGTTCCTCAGAAAATGGCTAAAGAAAAAAACAAGCAGTACCAGAAAGCACTCCAATATTTCTCCAGTATTTTTTATCCAGAGAAGAAAGTCAGTCATAGGGGTTTAGAGCAAGGGAAGGATGACTAAATGATGATTTTGACTCTCCCTATTCTTCTTGCTGTTCCAGATTGGATCTTTCTTCATGATTAATCTGTGCCTGGTGGTCATTGCCACTCAGTTTTCGGAGACCAAACAGCGAGAGCACCAGCTGATGCAAGAGCAACGTGCTCGCTACCTGTCCTCCAGCACGCTGGCTTCGCTCGCTGAGCCCGGAGACTGTTACGAGGAGCTCTTCCAGCTGGTCTGCCACATCCTGCGCAAGGCCCGCCGCCGCTCAGCTGCCCTTTACTACATGCTCCGTGGCAAAGCCCCTCCCCCTGAGGGAGGGAGGGGGCGTGGCAAAGGAGGAACAGGATCGACAGGGGGAGGGGCTAATGTGAATGGCAGCGAAAGACACCACTGCCATTCTACTCAGAGTAAGGAGAGAGTTACAGCCAGAGGAATGATATTGGGTCATAGAAAAGCTGTGTCTAACAGTGTTGAGGAGAAAATATCTAAAATTAACCAAAAATTGTTTTTATTTTAGCCTGACATTAGCTCAACTGTGTTCAAAATAGTAGCAAGCTGTCTGTACTAAAGTGCATTTTCTTGTGATATATATAATGTCGAAAAGTTTGATTTGTTTCTAGAGAAATCAGCCATCCTAAACTCCCCGTTTTCGCTTATATGCAGTGTTGAAAAGTTTGATTCAATCTAGTGAATCAGTCATCCTAAAGGACCCTTTTTCACTCATATTGTATGTAGTGTTGGAAAGCCTGATTAATTCTAGTGGGTCAGTTTGTCCTAAACGGTTCTGTTTCACTTATGTTGTGCAAGAAAGTCTGATTTGCTGGGATCATGCTTTCCAACACAACATGAGTGAGAGAATGTTTGAAAATCTGATTAATTCTGATACAGTTCGTCCAGAACTCTCATATATCACTTGTATTTGGTATCAAGCATTTTGATTTATTCAGGTGAATTGATTCATCCTAAAATGCCCTCTCTTACTCATACTGTATGTATATTGGAAAGAGAAGGTTTTTTTTTTTTAACAATTCATGTAAATGAAAATATAAAAAAAGAAATCACTGCTCAGTTATTACGTAAATCCTGAATTAATTTACATTTAAAATTAATTGTTAATTATGGTGTTTTTTATTTGGTTACATGCAGTGAATTAGTATGTATATTAGGATGTATTCTTTTTTTTCTTTCTTTGATTTAGTATAAATTTATTTGTAAAAGTTTGGAGATCTCACTGTTCATTCATTCAAACCCCAAAAGAATATGGCCCTAAAATTATGAATTATATCATCAAAAAGTTATTTATTTTAAACAATATTGCCCTTTTAAGTTGCTTCAGTGTATTTAGCTACTTTTGTGTAATAAAAACTAGCTTGTAGCCAGGCCAAGTTTCAAAGTAGCTTCCCTGACACTCCAAGCCAAATAGGAAGTTATAAAAGCAAAGAGTAAGTTGCAATAAAAACAAGAACAAATCCATCCGTGTGTTTGCTTTTATGGCCCAATGATATTTCAATCCCAAGCAGCAGTGTGGCAGTTGTCCAAGAAACTGACAGGCAAAAAGTATATTGTATTATATGAAAATGTCAAACTGAGATGTTGAATTTTTCGTCTTTCTTGCAGTCCCTCACTGTATTCATGATACCAAGTTGGACCAGAGCTCCCAATCTCTGGAGAACGCCATCTCCCTCTCCGTCACCCCGAACACAGAGGAGTGTCTACAGTGTGCTGCAGCCCCGTCACTCAAGGAAGGGCTGGGACTGACGGGGCACTCGGCCAATGGGGAGGAAGAGGAGGTTGCGCTGGAGGAGAACGACAGAGATGAGAACCGTTTGGACGAGAAGGGGGACAATGACTCTGAGGACATGCCGAAGAGGAAACGCACCTGTTTAGGGAAATGTAAAGATATTTGGGATGAAATGAGCGTGAAGCTTTGGGGTATAGTTGAAAGCAAGTACTTCAACAGAGGGATTATGATCGCCATCCTCATCAATACGATCAGCATGGGCATCGAGCACCATAACCAGGTAATTTCACCCGCAGTGCAGTCGGTTCACATAATGAACCCACTCTGAAGAAGTGTTCAACCTCATCATGTCACATATTACTGTAATAGCCAGCTCTTTCTGCAGTGCTGATAGAGTCTTCACAGGGCCTGCTATTCAAAGTAATGAGAATGGCCTTTGGAGTCTTGTTGGATTTTTTCTTGCCATGAAAGTGCAGTTAATTATCTTTGGAAGATGTAGAAAGCTACTACTACTCATGCACACTCTCTCTAACTTGCTCTTTCTCTATCTCTCTCCCCTTCCGCCCCCTCATGTCTTCAATGCGTCGCCTGCATTGGGGCCTGTTTTCTCATCGCTGTGAGCTCTATAAATATCAACAAGCAGAGAGAGACAGATATAGAGAGGGAGAAAAAGAAATAGTCACCACTGGCTTCTATTACGCAGCATTTTTAACATGTGAGACATCATGTAAATGCAACCTACGCAAGCAAACAGAGGAGCCCCTGTATACGTGCTCACATATAAACACACAATATCTGTTCAATGGGACTTTCCTCATGAGAGTTTGTGTTCCAGTCGACCTTTTATCAAATGGGTGTCAATGCACTTGGTCTGCACACACAAATGCATTTAAAGGTTCCTGTAGCTCTAAGAGTAGAGCGTGACATGAAAATATGTGGCTTGAAATCTTATGCATTCATGTTCACATAATAAATTCTATATAGAATACTAAGTGGCGTGTTTTAGAGCACCCTAATGGCAATTTTGGGAACATGCAATGATAGCTTACAGGAAGCAAGACAGCTTACAGGGACCTATTTTTTGTGATATCAGACTCAAAAACACTAACTCTAACTCTAATTCAAAAATAACTGCAGGACTTGGCACTTTGAGACCACCGTGGACATCTATACTTTATTTTTATTAAATAAAGATATTTTATGCACAATATTTCAGTTACACTACACTTAAACGATGACTTGTATCCTAATTCTTAACAGTTGGACAAAAAAAGTGTCTTTAAAAACTATTGGAACACACTGCCTTTACCTATACAGCAAATTGTATTGAACAATTTGAACATACAATGAAAATGTATATTAATGTTTAATTCCTTAAAACATTGGCAAGTAGTCCCAGTTAAAAAAAAAAAACACTGCCTTAAAATAATTTTCTTCTTTCAAGTTCTCACCTGTATAGATTCTGGAGAGGTTGAGCAACTCTCCTCCCCTCTCTCTCTGCCAGTGACAGACCAGTTAAAGTTAAGAACATAGCTGTAATAAATTAAAGTAGCCTACTAAAATATGATAAAGTATGATGAGATATCATAAGTATTCGGCGCAAAACAACTTTGCTTTATTGGGAAAGGATAATTCTACTCCGCACGCGAGTGGCGCGACGCGAC